AAAAGCAAAATAAATGAGATATTTAATACATGCAATATTTATTGTATTCTGTTTATTCTGTTTTTAGAGTAAAGTTGTAGTGATATACTGTATCACAAAGTATATAGAAAAGAGCAACAACGAGATTCTGATGAAAGAGCTTATCGGCTGAAATCCGATTTCTTTATGATCCTAGTATAGTAGAGAAGTTCGAGTTAACGTACGGTGAAGTAAGTGTGTCTCCTCGCCATCAAGCCAGGGTCGAAAAGAAGGTTTCCATTTTTGAACAAGATTTTTTGAAAACAGTCTAAAGCCTACCTCAGGGAACTTTTATAATTATTTATATCATTACTCATTGTTGAAATTTAAACATTCATTACCTTTGAATTGATTATGTCTTAGAGGTTTGAATCGTCCAAAAATCCTTAGTCGACTACTAGTTGGTCAAAAATTTCTTTAGTCTACTAATTATATAGTCAACTAAAAATTTTTTTTATATATATATAGTAATAATATTTCAGGGGGGTTTTAATTTGCAAATTACGTAATAATTACCCACATTGTTCGAAGTAAGCCTTTTCTGAAATTAAAGAAATTGGTCTTCAAACTCGTTGATTTTATTTTAAATATTTGTAACATTAATGGATAAAAACACTGGCACAAACTGCTTCTAGTACATTGCCTCGCTTATCTCTTGCACTTACTCAAAAAATATTCAGAGCACCATTTGAAATAATACTCTTTTCCAAAGGTGCCAAATGACATGTATATTAGTAAAGACACGTCTTTCTGAACTTCTGTTCAGATAAGCAAAAATACACAATAAAATTATATTCCACAAATATAGACTTTCATATGTTAATGAAACACTTAATTGAGTTTTTTGTTTGTTATCACTAGAGCTATTGGAAAGCTTGAAACATAAAATTCTACCTAAATCTAAGCTACATATGATATAAATTTAATGGGTGTTATTATGTAATTAGCAAAACATACATTCCAATTCTTTTGTCAAGGTATACTAGAACTGTGTGATTAAATTATAAAACCGACAATTTATAGGAATATAACCCATAGGCACAAGTAATCATTGCAACAAGAAGTAATGTTTTCAAACGACCTATTAGTAACAAAGCCGCCGAAGCATTTCTTAAATAAATCGAAAGTTCAAAGCTGAACTGGCTAAAAATGAAGAAAACACATTTCATCTGTTGTATCATTAAATCAAAAGTCGTTTTATCAGAACTTCAAACTTTTACAACTACTGGACTGTGTATATTATGTACGCACAGAAATAAATCATTTCTAAATTATTGTTATAATCTATTAGAGAGAACCAACACTCACTACATTAAGCAAATTAAAACAATTCTAAAAATAGTTGGAGCAGTGAAAATTTTTTGTTAATAACCCATTTTTGTGTTTGAACGATAGAATACCCTAGAAAGTAATGTTATATTTATATGATTAATATTTATATATGGGATACAGTTTGTTGAAATTCTAAATTAAAGCAGGAGAGGAGGAATTGTTTACGTTCTCAAATGGATGAAAGATATCACGTTGTAAATAATGAATCCTAACAACACTAATCATTAATTATTATTTTTAATTGTTCATTTATATATATTTACGTAAATAACTAGCTAACCAACGTATTGTTTCTTTTATTATCAGAAAGTACTACACAAAATTTTTTTTTTGCTAAAAATCATATTAAATAAAATTGCTCAGTTTTGAAGCTGATAATAAAACATTATATAGATATGTAGGTTTAAGCTAAAAAATAATGATAACATCACTAACCTTTCAACTAATGCTGAAAATATCACGACCAATTGAGCAAAGATAATGCTCAATGTGCCACACTTAAGGCTCCAAGTGAATCTACGAAATTCGAATCTGTGCTTTGATTATATTCAGATTCGAATCAAAGCATTAAAAAACTAATACTGTATAATATAAATCACGATTTGCTTTTATTTGATTCGGATTGATATACAAAATTAAGGAAAATTCTTTGTTTCGGCGAATTAAAATTCGTTGAAACGTTATACGTCCATCCTATAAAAAATCATGAATGTAATAGGTAGTGAATGGTACTGAAAACATACAAGATATGCATATAGAAAAATAAGTAGTAGTGATGTTTTCCGTATTTTCCATGTATGGAAGAGGCCTGGACAATAAAAAATTTTGGCTACTCCTATATGTAACTCTTTATCTAAAAACATTTTTGATACACACTTTCTATAGTGATATTGTTCTTTAAGGCTCCAAAAAACGAAATATCATTTTCATGCTATGATCCTTTTTATTGTCCAGATCAAAATATTCCACAGTGATTCCGCATTATTTCCATATTTTTTTAGGTATGGCCTCATCATAAAACCTAATACCAAATGCTTGAAAGTTTCTATATGAAATTATGTAAGAAACCCAAGAAGTAGACTGGGCAATTACCTCAGGAGAATTTGAACGATTAGTTGACCATCAACAAAATATTGATAAAAATACTATATATGAATGTGGTGGTGTATATTGATGATGACAAGTGTTAAAGTATTAAAATTTACAAAATAATATTTGTACTGATTCCAGATGGTTTAAAATTTAATTGTTACTATCTTTACCTTAAAATAAAATGATTTTTTTAGCACATCAGACACGAATTCTGGCTTTAATTCAAGTTAAGGTGGCGAACCAAAAAAATAGGCAAGTACATGGAATAGATAGCACAGATCTAGTTGGGTCACTTTTATCTTAAATACGCGTTAGAGATCATAAATTTTCTGATTCATTATGACTAATATGATACTCATTCTTTAACTGCTGAGAATTGACAGTGGTTATTATTATAAACTTGAATTGCCGCATTCTTTTGAAGATGTCGCACATACAAAATGTGATGTAGATTAAGACAATAAAACTTCAAGATTCGGAGCTTAAAGGAACGATTACTTTTACTTTCATTGGTACAAAATGAAAAATAATATCGCATATTTATATGTACGGTATGGTATATACGCGTCAAGCTAATGTGGGATACGAGCATATATTCTGATTTTCAAGTTGCATATGATATTAGAGTTGAAATTTTCTGTTAGATCTTAATATTGTCTGATGCATGGCTAAGGTTCACGATTCCACACCGAGATATATAGTATCCTGAATATATATATATCCTTCACTATACTTACTTCATAAAACTGTAATAATTGAGGATCTAGCCATTATAATAATGATGAATCTTTTGTATATTTCGGAGGTATGAGCGGACCGCCAATATGTGATATCATTCCGCCTCGTCATTATTATAAGCCAATTGTAAGCAATTCAATCTACTCGATAACAGACCTTATCAACGAAATATATTATTTATTTTTTTTTAATATAATATAAAATTGTTTGCATCTTAATTTTACCACTAATGAAGCTATTGTAAATTGTTAATGGTAAATGGTTATGACCGTTCAGACCTACTAGCTTGGGACATCACCACTTTTTTATCTATTACTATCACTATATTATATCTTTTGTCGACTCCTTTTTTATTAATGTTAATAGTAGTAATAGTACTAAGAATAATATATATTGTCGAAAAAAAAAACACCATCCATAATATGAAGGACTAGATTTAGCTACTAAAACTTTAAATTAGTACTAGTATTAGTACCACTGATCGTAATCGTAACGATTATCGTATTACCAAAATTTTTAAAATAAATGTCTTACACTACAATATCAAGTTCTTCAAGTCAACTATCATATGATGATATTATTAGTTTTCAAGATGAAGAATTGGATGAAGATAATCTTGCAGAAGTGCACAAGGTGAATGTGAATAATGTGAATTGCTGAATGAATTAATGAATAATGTTAAAATGTTAAAATTTACACATTCTCACTACCACAACCACAACCACAACCACAACCACCATCACTACAATCAAATTCACTGCAACCGCGCGATCAATGATAATAATCATATAGTTGATGGGCAGCAGTCGCGATGCACTTCTATTTGTTATTCATTGTACTTCAACATTGTTCTCAAAAGATGTTAATCAAAATTCAAATCAAGGGCAAGAGCAAGTACAAGATTCAAAATTTAATTCAATATTAAAATGTATATCAGAAATAATGTTTGACAAAATGACCACTGAACAAAATAAAGATTTAATAGGAATCATGCTTATCGGAACAGTAGGTTTAATTATTTATTATTGTTACAAATTTTCATATATTTTGTCAATAAGAATAATAATAAAATTCATTATTTTGCTTTTTTAGAAACATGCACAAAATAGAGTTGTGAAAGATCATATTTATGTATTGCAAAATATTGATTCTTTAGATATTCATAGAATAAAAGAATTAAATGAAATTATATCCGGTATTGTTCGATCTTTATATAATATATATTTATATTTATACACATAAATTATATTTTGTTTTACAATGTTAGGTGACTTTGATTTTGAAGAACAAATTGGGATATGGGATGGAGAATTTCCTTTTGGTGATGTATTTTGGGTTTGCGGTGATATTTTTAATCTTTTGTCAGTTTTCTTAATTATTTTCATCATTCTTCTTTTCAGGGGATGACTTATATTTGTTGTTATTTAATATCTAATATTTTAGAATTTCACCCACGATCAAGACAAAAAGAATTTTTTTAATAACTGATTGTGATAATCCCCATCCAATGAATGAATATTTACGTAGTACTGCCATAACTCGTGCAAAGGTTAGCATGTATAATATAGCATTATTGTAATAATATTGGTACTGATTTATATTGTCCTTTTGTTTAGGATCTCATTGAATCAAAAATTGGTATAAACATTTTTGGCATTAATACTAAAGCTGGTGAATTATTTAATTTGGATGCGTTTTATACTGTAAATTTTTTGTGAAATATTGAATAAATCATTGATTTCATCAAATACTAATAGTAATAATATATTTTCCATAAATAGGAAATATTATCATTGAACAATGATATTACCAATTATTCATTTGTGAGTACATTCAAGGATTATAAAAAAATGGCATCTCAAATTAAGAGTAAAGAAGTGCCAAGAAGATCCACTTTTTCAATTCCATTTCGTTTATTTGAAGACGATTCATTAGAATTAACAATTGGTATTAAAGGGTTGGTAATGAATGAATGAATGAAAAAATGTGTATTTATATATATATTCTTATTCTGTAATAAATGTTATTGTTTATTTGTTATAGATATTCAACGATAATTGTAAAGAAGAAACCTGCATATAAATATGTACATATGAGATCAGAGACTGCTCGTATAGCAGAAATGAAAACAGAATGGATTTGTGCGGTTAGATTTTTTTTTTTATTTCTTTTATTATGTTGTTATTGTTACCATAGTTGTGATATGATGTACTCTGTGTGTTAAATTATTTCCTACAAAAAAATATGTATTTATATATATAAATATATAGGATACAGCCCAAAGGTTAATGAAAGAAGATATGAAATTTTATTATGCTTATGGCGGTGAAAAGGTTTTGATTTTATTTAATCAATAATATATTTATTATTTTATCATATATCATATTATCATAATATTCATTTTATTATTGATTTTAGGTTATATTCACAAAAGATGAATTAATTAAAATCAATAGCATTGATGATAAAAAAGGTTTAAATTAAAAAATTTATTAAAAATGCACAATATGTGGATATATATATATATATATATATTAAATAACAGTAATAATAATAAATTTTAGGATTATCACTTCTTGGATTTAAACCTGCTGGTACTTTAAAATTTGAACATAATATAGATCATCCAATATTTATTTATCCAGATGAAGAAGTATTAGTTTATTTATCTTTGTTTTTTTTGTTTTTTTTTGTTTTGTTTTTGTAAATAACAAAACCAATTATTAAATTTATTAATTTATCAACTCAATCAATTAAGCAATATGAAGGCAGTATAAGAACATTTACAGCGCTACACAAAAAAATGCTTGAATTGAATAAAATAGCTATATGTTTTATGACACGTGTTGTCGGACGTCCACCATGTTATGTTGCACTCAAACCACAAGTATGAAAGATATTTCAATTTACCTATACATTTACATTACATATTTATGCATCTATAATTTTTGAAGGCAGAAGTTTTAGATGAAGATGGTCGACATGTTGAATCCCCAGGATTTCATTTATTGACTTTGCCATTTGCAGAAGATATTCGATCTCATCATCCAAATGTAAACATTTCTCCTGGTAATTAATGCATACATATTTATTTATATATTTATTAAATAAATACCACTAACACATACATGCATGCATACATTTATTTTATTTGTAATATTTATATATAGCACCTGATGAATCAGTCGATTGCATGAATCGAATAATCGGTAATTTGATGATAAAAGATGGATATGATCCTAATAACTTTCCAAATCCGCGTAATATTACTTTATATATAATATATTAATTTATACACTTGTACACGGTTATTTATATTTTATATATATTTAATAATAATCACTTCTCTTTAATATATTTTCAGTTTTAGAAAGATATTATCATATTTTAAAACAAATAGCACTTGATGAAAATTCATCATTTGAGAAACCTGATGCAACTTTACCAAAATATTCACTTATAGACCAGGTTTTTTTTCCTAAAATCTAAAATGATTTTTTTAATGTCATGACTTATTATTAAATAATATTACGTTTTTTTTTTCAAGAATGTTGGTGGATTAATCGAAGAATTTAATAAGGTAACAAGAAATTTAGAATCAAATCAAATAAATTTAACATCGTTATCACTAGCAGAGCCAACAGAAACTTCTTCAACATCTCATCGTGCTAACTCGCTATGACAGAATTAGGATAGGTAGTATATGGGAAAAAATTCCTTATGGTCTTGAATTTTTCAAAGAAAATATTTATTATTTATTTATTTATTATAATTTATTTAATTGTAGTATTATTTTTTATTTATTAAAATTTTACGCAACACATATGACATCACCTCATTTTATATATACATTGTTTTCTTCCTTTATTCTTTTTTCTTTGTACTTTTATCATTAGAAAAAAAAAGCTGAATTAAATTCATATTTAAAAATAAAGAAAAGCTGATCTTATATAACTATTCGAATATTATTTTGGACAAATGACAACAAAGATAAGATTAAAAATTAAAAAATCTTTCTAATAAAAAAATATATTTATTATTATTTAAATTTTAATTATAGCAAGTTATATTTTTTTAAAAAAAAAATATAAAAACATTATTATTTATAAGAAATAATTTATGGAAGAAAAAAACAATAATCAATAATTTATATTTTACAAACGATGATAAAAAACCGCAATCTATTTTTCTAAAAGAATTTATTTACAAAGAAGAAAATTTAAAGAATTAAATTTTTTTTGTTGATTATTTGATATTTTTAAAAGATTTAGCAAAATAAAAAATAAAAAATAAAAAATAAAAAAAGATAAAGATATTAATTAATCAAATATCTCTTGAGAGAAT